AGCAGTTCCTAAATTACAGGTACATTCATTAGTGATTCACAATCGAAATGTAATTTTATATCTGTTTTCTTGTCTGCTTAAATGTATTTGTGACGTGATAAATCATTGTGTTGTGGGAATTCATGTTTATCTATTATTAAATAGTCTTTTCAAAAACACAGATTCAATCCCCGCCGAACGACCCACAATTGGCAGCACCCAATACTAAACTCTTGGTATCTGATATTGAAGTGCAAGTGAGTAATTTTTTTTTAGCAGTAGATAGATAGATAGAACTCTTTATTTGTACATCATTTTACAAGAAGCATGATAGTTACATGAAAGTGTTAGATATACAATGTCTTCCACAATCTTCCAGGCAACCTTAGGATGGATCAAAATGTTCGGGAGAGATAGTAGTAGTTGACGGTGAAATGAGTTTTTCAGGTTAATACTAACGAATATAAAAGAGATACTAACTACATATATATAATATAATAAATATACACATTCACAAATATATATAAATACATATACATATTTATATTCATAAAAACAAATACTTCTACATACCAGCAAATATACATACATAAGTACTTAGTAGTAGGTGTCATAAAAAGATGTGGAATTTAGAGATATTTTATTTAGTATATCTGTGCGCGTCCTGCTTTTGGTGTCGGGGCGGGTCGCTTAAAGCATTAAATGCCTACATTTTTTGCATTAGCTTGTTGGTTTGGATGAGTTTTATTCGCGAATTTATTCACTCGCGCGTAGTTTTTAATTTAAGATATCTCCTAACATATTCATTTAAATTGTATGGTGTAAAGGGTTATTATAATGTGTATGAAATGCTTAAGATAACTAACGTATTTATTTTGATAACGACTAATACTGTATCCGTCTAAATGGCTGTTGTAAATACCACATTATATGTGATAAAGTAAATACACATACATATTACACAAAAACGTAACGTTAATAAAATAATAAGTAATGGAAAGATACTAACAAACATACATAGTTGTCCGAAACATAAAAAGTAAGCAACTAATATTTTACGTTAATATTATAAATTATTTTAGTGTTCAACGCGACTCCATACCTTCTGTAGTAGAACTCGAAGAAGCAAAAATAAACAAAAACAAAACGATATAGCTCTCAAGGCAATACGAGAAAAAGTACTTTATTTGTTGCTCAATAAGGTTGATTTGACACTAAATGTTATTTAAGTTATGTCTTTTCGTTTGAAGGTGATAGGAGTAATTTATTCCTTTGTTCGTTTTTTGCAAGGAATGATCGTAAGTATTAGATAATATTTTGAAGATTTGTGACTTTATTACTGTGCACCATAGTTGTGATTAGGTTGAACTTAAAACTATTTTAAAACTTTTCCATCCGTTTGTTGATAAACAAATGTAGCTGCATGTAGTGTGTAGTAATATATATATATATATTTACGCGGACAGCATTTAGCTTTGACTTTGTACGTGACCCTTTATCTAGTTGCTATTCTTGATCGAAGAGTATATCTAAGTGGTCTTAAATATAATGACTATTCATATTTGTGCTCTAAACCAGCACTAAGGTACAACCAGCTGATACTTTCTCAAGCTATTAATAAGAAACAATCATTGAGAACATGTCATGTGATAACGTTAGCCTTACAACAAAGAACATGTTTTAGAGTGGTTCTGAGTAAATGATTGGCTGCTTTTTATGAAGCGTTTATGTTTATTTTAGTATTTATTCAAAGGCACCATAATAAAACGTTCGAAAATATATAAAAATCTAGAATGTATATGTACCAATCAAGTCAATATACTAGGCAAGTTCTCATTGAGCATAATCATTTAAAAAGAAAACGGCGTGAGGGGTCTATGGATCCTGGTCTATGGTCCCTGGGTCGGGGTCTTGTCTTATTACACATTTTTAGGTCTCGCTCCCATCCGCTCAGAGCGAGTAACGCTCGATAAGGAACTTCGTACCAAGAACAATTGTAGTGTGTACGGTTTTTAAAAATAGGTTTGCTGTAATAGTCTTGTTTTGAAATTATTATATTATATTTTTTTCTTGCGTATCAAATAACCATTGTTTTTATCTTTATTGTCCATGGCCGGCAGTAGTTACTTACTATCAGGTGACCCATCTGCTTGTTCTGTCCCTGTATCATTAAAAAAATGCCTCTCTACTCATTCTTTGTCCTACTGGCACCTGGCGGCCATTGCTCCCAACATTGTTATTGATTTTGTAGACTACCTTGGATATACAACTTTAACAAATGCAGATAAGGATTCATTTTCCTTACTAAATGTTTATATCATCAACTAAAATGTAACCTTGAATGGGACTGTAGCATCTACGGTTTATATACCTAACTAAGTAACTTTTGTTTGGGGCTTTACTCGCATTAACGTAATATTTTTCCATCGATATCGGGTGTTTCTTTGAATGAAAGACTCCCTATGTCTTTTACTGAATCCATGACAGCGTTGACATGGCGTGACAACGGAAAATACGCAAGACATGCAATCAATAAAATGTAAGACCCATAAATGCAACACAATAAAAGTTTTATTAAAATTTATAAATGTAACCCTACTATTAAAAATACCCCTTCATCCCACCAAAATCTCCTGTCTCATGTGTACTCGCTGTTAGTGATAAGTTATTAGTGCACCAAATCAGAGGGCCTATTGTATGACTTCATTTCATATCAGCCCGGCTCAAACCGACGACGGTGTGGCCTAAGAGCCATGCTTGATCAATTGAAAATGGACTCTGTCACGTAAATGTGCGATTGTAATATTAGTATAACCAAACATAATTAATCGCGACGCGAAGCATGTGCGAGGGACGCGTGGCCGCGCAGCCGTAAAAGCGGGTGCGAGCAAGAGCGTGGCGCCAGGCGTCTCGTCTCTTTCTCGTTTACGCCTAAAACCGAGGTGCGCGTTACGCCAGCAAAACATTGGTTAAGGGTTTGAATAATACCGTTAATTAGATCCCTATGTTGTATAAATGTGCTCAACCCCCCTGCTTAACCGCCTTATAGATTCTGCTGAAGTAACCGCAGCAAAAAAAATCGTTGGCTTAGCTGGATTTAAAGTACCTATCCAGATTTATAGCTTATAATTTGTGCCGAATGTACGTGCAAAATCTTTTGTGCCGTTTTTGCTGGTGGTCAGATCTGGCAAACTACTAGGTGCACTATTATGATTTTCTGTACAAGTAGGCATAACTTGTGGCTCTTTAGTATCCAATTTTATTTCTATCGTTTAGTAAGACATAAAGTTGTGAAGGATTTTCTCAAAAACGCAATTAACTTTAGGTTTCCACTTAGGCAACCTAGAAACCTTAGGATAGTTCTGAACTGTACTTATCGTGTATTTATTCCTAAAGCCCTACAAAATGTCAGTGTCTTACTTCAAGGCGTTAATTAGTTCTAACAAATATTCTGTTTTCGACAATGAACTTATTTTGGACTCCAAATAATAATAATAATATATCTCACACACGGCCGTCAAACTAGGCAGAACCTTTACTATGGTAACCAGACTCCTGATAAACATACTTATATAACCCAGACACAGAACAAATGACCGTGCTCATCACACAATTTTTGTCCTGGGTGGGAATCGAACCCACTACCTCCGGTTCAGCAGTCAGGGTCACTAACCACTAGACCAACAAGACCGTCAAATAAATTAATATTGCTGCTTTTTGGACTAAAAAAGTTAGACTCAGTCGGAACGATAACTGTTGGAAGCTACTAAAAACACTACGATATTTTCTTAATATTTCTATTTTTTTTTTTTTTTTTTTAAAGACAACTCCCGCACTAGGAAGAAATCCTGTGTCACGGGGGACTTTACAAACATACATGAAACGGACACAAAGTACACCCAGACTCAGAACAACAATTTGTGAACGACACAAAGTGTTGTCCCATGTGGGGTTTGAACCCCACTTCAGCGTAATAGGAAGCGGCGTGGCGACCGCTTAAACCACTACGCCATCCGTTCAGTCAAAGTGGTCAGTATTTTTCTTATGGTGGCTTGTGTCGATTACGTCGTGGTTCAGTTTTAACTAAAGTAAGCATAACACATATACACTTACATTTAAATCATTAGTTTTATGCACTATTCAATTTTGTATGTTCCAGAATCCACCCATTTTAGTCGTGGATGAGAAACTCAATATGAATGAATTAGGTCATAATGTCGTACACTACAAGTCAAATCAAGCACTAGAATAGAAAAGACAAGCTATAGAATTTTGTAGAATAGGTACGTGAAATATCGTCCCTGTTCTAATACACATACACACACTTATAAAAATTCGACACTACGAACAATAATTTTTCTAGAAGCGTAATCCTACCTAAATAAAATTGATTTCTCAAATGTGCTGCTTAGCGCTAATCTCCAATTCTGCTAATTTTTTAACCGATTTCAAAAAAAGGAGGAGGTTTTCAATTCGTTCTCAATTCGAAATAAAAACCACAGAGTAAACTAAAGCACCTATACCTACTATACCCTAGCTGTCAAACATTTGGCAGCAATGGAAACAAAGGCGCAAAGATAATTTTTGGTATGCATTCAAGTTGATTAGATTGTATGGATATTAATCTGTACCTGCCAAACACAAAGTTCGAAGAAATGTGATCAGTCTGGAATACGTTTTACTTTTGCCCGCGGCTCCGCCCGCCTTTATGACGGTTATCGCAGTAAAAGTAGCCTATGTTACTCGCTGATAATGTAGCTTTCCACTAATAAAGGAATTTTTAAAATCGGTTTAGTGGTTGGCACCTGAAAACGTTATTAACAAACAAACATATTTATGACATAAAAAGTATATGATTTTTTATGTGAGTGAACACGAAATAGAGACCGTGGCGAGTGGTTCGTGTAATAGGTACCAGCGCGGGGCGTCATTTCGCTGTGACGCCGGTGTTGTGCGGTTGTGTCACGGGCAGTCTCGATTGTTCATATTATTGTGTTTTTGCGATACTTGATATCGCAAATATGCCGTCATGTGTTGTGAAATGGTGTAGAAGCCGTTCAGATATGAAAAACACTGGAATCACATTTCATAAGTAAGTAACTAAACATTTTGAAAACCCAGACTTGACGAATCGAGAGAGTATTATGCAACATGTAATATAAGATTATTTGTAGATTTAACATTTCTTATATACATGTTCGTATTTGATATGAAGGATGATATTATACAAAAGTACAATATATGTCATTACCACAGATTCCCAATAAATAAAATTCAGCGTGAAAAATGGGTATCCGAAGTTCGTTTGGAAAGAAATGAATCTGATTGGAGGGCTTGCGAATCTAGTAGGATATGCAGCATACACTTTCGAAGTGAAGACATCTACGTTCTTGGTAATGGTAAACGTAAAAGATTAAAGAAATCTGCGTTGCCTATTTGCACTGTAAGTTTGTTTGATTCGATTTTACAATTTAAGTCACGTTATTGTTCTCACTTAGTTCACTGTATAAAATTACTTTTGTTTATTTTGCAGATGGTTAGTCGATTACCTGCAAATGTTAATCCCTCTGATGATTTAACCTCCATCACTCAAAATACAAATTTGCAGGTATACTGTATTTTTGAGTACTTATTATAATTTTAAGCCAGTTTAAAACAAAACTATTCCAGTAAATAGTGAACGAATCAAAAGAATCTGTCATTTACTTACCTATTTATTATTGCTTTACGAATCTGGAGCTAAATGTAAAAGCATAGTCGTATATCCTAACGTTTATAAACTTGACTTGTTCATAAACATAACTTTGTTGCATAAGTGAATTAAGTTTTTCGATTTTTAAGTATATAGTAAATCCTTCGTTGGTTTTCATTAATAATAAGCAGGGAAGAAAGCTTATTTATTTATATTAGCATAATACTGATAACACCATTCACGCATTCTTTACTCCCGCCAAGATGGCGGCTCGGACATGACCATAGAGATAAATGTCTATGGGCATGACGTAAGATTGACGCGACCAATCGCGTGCAAGTTATCCGAAAAAAAAAGCTTCCATATTTAAAAGACTGTGCGGCGATGTTGCGGCGAAGAGAACAATGCGCGAGTAATTAAAAACGGACTTTGTCACGTTAACATGCGATTGAAATTGGTATAATCAAACATAATTACTCGCCAAGCACATCGAGAGGCGCGTATTTAGGTTAAACTTCATTCTCCTATGAACTATTTACAGTTCACATACCTTTTGTGACATTTGTGAGATCGAGAGCAGATCGGAACTGATTTTAATTACGAGAATCAACCTTCTGGTCTGAGGCCCTCCATAAATTACGTCACACAAACTTTCCGTCCTTGTCACAGGTGGCCACACTTGTGATCTCTAGTGTGACGTCACAGTTTTTTTTCAATTTTTTATTTAGAAGTACATAACTAAATTAAAACAACAAATACGGTAATAAAACTCTGTTAGGTTTTTCTTTTTAGGAAAACGTACTTTTTTCTAAAGATCTAAAATAAAATTTTGTTTGCAATGTTTTAGTACTTTATTTCATATACAAATAATATATAATATATAAAATTTAATAAAAAACATGTTAATATCTTATAAGTACTTTTTTTATGACATTGCGTTCTAAATTTGCAAAATGAGGCAGATGATTGCAAAAGAGGCGCGTCCCAAGAAACGCGCGAATAAGCACTTACTATTTAAAAAAAAAAAAGAACTTACTTCAGTAAATGACACTATAAAAAAATATCAGTTGCTTAATAGAGGAGTCTACACTTTCACCGCACGAAACTTATAAAATAATTCCTTATTTTCGAGAAAAACAATCCTCAACATTGATCCAAATCATCGAAACTGACCTTTGCCATTTTAAATATTTCTGCTATTTCGTTGTACTTTTTGAAAATAACTTTTTTTTAATTGCGAGAAAAAAGTATAGGAAAAAGATCCCCGTTTTCCATACTTTTTAGTACGTAACAATTGTCGCCCGTAATTTGGAATAAATTAGATTACTTATATATGCGAGCAAAAACTTCAGTGCCACCTGAAAATTCAAGGTGACTGCACGCCCGTCGTAGTCTGCGTCGAGGTCCATAGTTCCGCGACAAATCTATTGTTTGGACAAGCATGAGGGTGGGTTGTGAGTGTTGGACTGTCACTACTGCTAATTTGTATTCTTCGTGCAAATAGAGGAACTAGGTATGTCAGTTTTATTTAGTTTTTTTTTTCGAATGAATATCAAACACAAATGTTAGTACTTATTAAAGCGTAACTAATTTTTTACCTATTTCAGGTAGATATGGGAAAGCACAAAGAAAATTATTACAAACACAAAAAAAATAGAGGAAGATTTAAAAGAAAGCAGTAAGTATCCATAATGTAGGTACCTACTCACTTCAAAATGTCTTTATTAATGAATTATAGTTTTAAAAAACACGCTTTTATAACTAGCCGAACTAAAAAGTAGAAAATAATTTTCTATAAGTTCAAAAAGAAAAGTAATTTAATCGTAAAAATGCGTGGGGTGCTAGATCTCAATTGTTGTAAAAAAGAAAATTGACAGATATTAGTAAAAGTAAAGTTATTACATTATAAAATATGTTGAAAACCTCACGCGTGTTTACGCTAATAATTAACTATAATTTATTTTTGCGTGTTTTGTCATTAATTATGATTATTTTCTCATTGAGACTACAGAAGTAACAAGTAAGTAAGTCACATATGCTTCAGCACGCGCACGAAACCAAAGACAGAAGACAGAAGAAATAGGCTATTAAACTTGAAGATCCTAATCAGGATAATCGGCCAAATTTAGCAAATTATTGTATTGTCATCGGTCCTTGAAAAGTGTGCGAAGTTTCAATTTAATTCGACTTTTTGAAGTGGGTCAAATTCACGTTCGAAGATTCCGTTACATACATTCATATACACGGACATACATACATACATACATATATACATACCAAGCTAATAAAGGCTAAAAAAACAAAGAAATTTCCAAATAAATATCGTAATAATGATTGTTTCAGGTTAAATGTGACCAGCTATTTCAAGGAGCGAGATGTGATAAAAAAAAAAGAGACCATGGAAACGGGTTTGCTGTTGGTATACATTTATTTTGATAAATATTTGACAAAACAGATTGTTGTTATTGTGTGTGTTGATTTATAACTTGAGTCAACACAACACGCGGACACGCGTCGATCGTCAGTTCGACACGACCAACGTTCAGAGAACCCCGGGCCTTAAGCCAGCCATACACGCTACGGTTTACCTGAAAGATTTGTATGTGTGGGTTAGCCTGTGCAGTGTGTGTGGGACACAGTTCGTTTCGCTATGGCATCGTCAGACGACGCATTAGCTATTTTTGCATTATTGTTGTTAAAAAGTAAGATACAGAAAAAATCAGGCAACGGAAAAATCGTAAGACCTGGGGTAAGTATCAGCTCATTATTGTGTTTTAATGAAGGAATTAAACTCCTTAGTTTATGTAGGTACGTATGATTGTATAGCGATGATACTACATACAAACGAGAGGTAGGTACGTCACGAACACACAAAACGCGTGCAGTTAATTGGTTCTTTCTAGGACCACTGCAATCAGTCGGGTCGTAACCTGTCATAGTGAGCGCGCGTGCCAATGCTTCGAAAAATTTCATAAAATGCCTTCCTGTGTATTTCGAAAGTGCAGAAACTACGACAGAAAAGTAAATAAAGATAAAGGAATATCATATCACAGGTAAGTGTATAAAATTTCATAGTTTTATTTAAATTAATTTATCAAAAATTAATAAATTACAGCTTGTTTCCGAATCATAAAAGAGATAGAAAATTGCTTTAATAACGATTAGGACAAAGAGAGTGCATACGCTGTCATAGATTATAATTATAGAGCAGACAGCACAAAAGGTATTAGGTACGAATCTGTAAATATGACAATGAATTAGATTTTTTGTTGGCTGAATTATTTTGATTTGATGTTAATTTAAATTCTTTGTTTTAATTTTTCACTAGATTTTCTACTAACGTGGTAAATATTCAAGATTGGATTGCTGTTGTGCGTGAACAAAGATGTGAAAGCGATTGGATGCCTTCAAATAGTAGTAGGATTTGTAGTAACCACTTTAAAGATGAAGACAAATATACTTCAAAGAAAGGATTGATGCTACTGAAGAAAAATGCTATTCCCATTTTAGAGGTAATATTCTATATACAATACTCAATTAAATACAATTTTACAAAAATAAGTAGGCGTGCTTTTGGTTAAGCGTTATTGCAGTTTAACACTAAATATTTTTACTCTAAAATTAAAAAAAAAATCATAAAGAGCATTTTATACTATTTTAATCTATTTTCAGAAGCATAAAGCATAAACATAGTCTTTTTCCTTCAAGTTCAGAATTTATATTTATATGTAATATATATATATAACCTAACCTAACCTAACTAATATTATAAATCAGAATATTTTACAGTAAACTAGCTTTTGCCAACGGCTCCGCCCGCATGTATGTCGGTTATCGCGATAAAAAGTAGTAAATGTTACTCGCTGGTAACGTAACTTTCCGTTGTCTTTTTGAAATCATTTTAATGGTTTAGACGTGAAAGCGTGATAAACAAACTCACTTTCATATTTATCATCTACTAGCTTTTGACTGCGGCCCAGCCCGCGTGTGTGTTGGTTATCGCGGTAAAAAGTAACCTATGTTACAGTGAAATTAGTCTCGAGAAATTTTTGCATATGTAGTGGTGTGTATATTACTCAGATCTTAGATCGCGTTTCCACTATATCGTTCTGGCCTATACAAAAAGGTTTCGATATCCTAACATTACTATTTAATTTTATACTTATCCCTAGCAACACTCTGATTTTTGTTTTCAATAAAAACAAGTTTTTATTTTAAAGAAAAAGGTTTTGACTTTATAAAAAAAAAGGTGTGTGTGCGATTCACACACGATAGAAGTGAAACTTCAAAGAGGAGAGACCGATATTTAATTTTTTTGTTTTCTTTTCATCTAGGTTTTTAAAACTCCGAGGGCTCTACGGGGAAAGCTCTGATAGTGGAAAGTGGAAACACGCACAAAACCAGAATAAACCAGTTTACGCTGTCCGTACCATACACTACTACAAACGCAAAAATTTCTCCAAGCTAATTTACCTGTACTCGCTGATAACTTAGCTTTCCATTGGTGAAAGAATTTTTAAAATCGGTTTAGTGATTTAGGTAGTAGGATGTGTCTACTTGGTAATTTATTTCATGAAACAATTTCAAACTTTCAGGTAAAAACTATTGAGTATTGAATTATTTACAAATTGCCTGATATTTTTAATACGTAATATTTAATTAATATACTTATTAGACACAACAATAGAAATGAACATTAAAATTTATTCCTACGTGACCAAAGTATCGGTTCTGTATATAAGTTGCGCTTAATCTATGACGGAGCGAATTATTCGTGGCTGTACTGATTACAAATAGCTTTCTCTTTCACTCTTGTCCTTCCCCTATTTCCTATCGCACTTGTAACCAACGTTTTTATCTACAATACATTAAGGGCCTGTCCGTACAGCGATATCTCACCGCACGTTTTTTCCCCCCAAAATTCTTTTGGGTTCTATTTAGGACTAATCCGTGCTGGCGGAAAATGTTCACGGGAAAAAAATCTGATTAGACGCTAATTAAATGCATTATGGTATGGATTTATTTCCGCGCGCATGTTTTGTGCAGTATGAAGTAGAAATGGATATGACCACACTCAATGATATTTCAAATATAAAAAAAGGCAGATATGTTTCAAGCGCTCGCCAAGTGAAGACTCGAAAACATGCCAATTGGGACGTTTCGTCTTTAGTCGCGTCTAACCAAACGCTGAGTAGTCACGTGTAGTGAATTATAAAATTATTACGAAAATGCCGTCCTGTGTGTTTAGAAAGTGTACAAATTATTGTTCTAAAATTAATAAAACACAAGGGATTTCCTATCACATGTAAGTACATACAATATATTTCGATTTATTAGTGTATTTGAATAAAATTTGTTTACTAATATTCTTAAATAATGGTCGTAAAGAAACGAGACAGTCAATACTTTTTGTCGCGAGCACGATAAGGACGCATGCACTGGGAACATAGATTATAAGTACAGATGCGAACATCGTAGGCACTAAAGTTAGAATTACCCTGTTGTACAGTTTTGCTTAATCTAACTGTTTTTTAATTAATTAATAATGTTTGTTGTTTAATTATTTGTGATGTTTTAATATTTATGATAGACCAGCCAGCGCACTACTACTACAGCAAATTGAATTATTTATTTAGAATTATAATTATTTTTCATTTTTAAGGTTTCCGACTAACGAGATCGGACTTCAAGAGTGGATTGCAATTGTTCGTAAACAAAGAAACGAATCAGACTGGATACCTTCAAAATCCAGCCGAATTTGTATCAATCATTTCAAAGCTACTGATAGATATACTGCGAAAAAAGGTCGAACACTACTTAGGAAGAATGCTGTTCCTGTTATTCAGGTAATTAAACATTTATAAACAAATGCATTTAAAAAAAAAACATAAGAACTTACTTTGTTATCCGAGGTAAGAGGGTGGACATTGTACAGTTGGCATTACCATTTAAATGAAAAAGGAGTTCATTTTGTAAGTATTCAAGATATTGATTTATTAAAATATCGAATTTTAAAAACTTTTTTAAAGTCCAACATATTTGACTCACTCTTAGAACATTCAAAGCAACAAGCACCCGTTTTTAATCATCGCGTGAATTTAATTAAAACCATAATTGATAAATATACCACAGTTCGTCTTCATTCCGCTCATAAAAATAATCCTGAAATAAAAAAACTTTCAAAAAGGCAGAAAAGAAATAAATTAAATCTATTCGAAGGTGTTTAATTATTGAATATTATGTTACTATGGTGATTATTTGTTAAACAATTATTTTTAAGAAGTTTTTTTATTTGTCGTGTACATCCATCTTCAAGCGAAACAAAATACCTTAAGGCAGGTAGGTTGACATTCGGTGGCGTGAGGACGCGCGAGCTCGCGGTGAGGGACTGGCGCAGCGAGACATCGAGCTGCGTCGGTCACAGCTGCGCGAGGTCCTGGTGGTAGAATGGCGGGACAGGCTTTCACGCCCTTCCGCCGGCCTCGTCACTATCGAGGCCATCCGGCCAGTGCTCGACCTCTGGCTCGAGAGAAGGCACGGCTCCCTGTCGTTCCGATTGACGCAGGTCCTCTCTGGGCATGGCTGCTTCGGGAGGTTCCTGTGTCGCTTAGGCAGGGAACCGGACGCTCGGTGTCACCACTGCGTCGACTGTCGGGAGGACACGGCGCGGCATACGCTGGCAGAGTGTGCCGCCTGGGAGGGGCCGCGCCGTGCCCTCATATCTGTAGTAGGCAGTGACCTTTCGCTGCCGGCCGTAGTTCGTTCTATGGTCGACAGCGAGGAGTCCTGGGACGCGGTGGCGTCCTTCTGCGAAACAGTAATCTCGCAGAAGGAGGCTGCGGAGAGGGAGAGGGAGATCCTGACCTCTCTCCCGATCCGCAGCAGGCGCACCGGGCGTCGGAGGAGGGCATACGCTACCCTCCACCGGCCCACCTAGCTGGGTCCAGGGGCGACGGACTTGGGGATATTCGTCGCCCCCATCTGGACCCGAGGTGGCGGCGCGTAGTGTTACCGTGCGCCCCTCTGTGTAGTCGCGATGGGAGTCAAACACCTCACTCCCCTCGCTGACGCGATGTGGCCCGCAGCGGAGGGCCGGCACCAGTCGGGGATTGCGGAAGTCACCTCAGTTCCCGCGATCCCCGGCGTAGGTGAGAGACGGAACACCGGGGGGTTTTAGTCAGTAGGAGTCTGACAGACCCCTCTGCCCTTTCCCCTGGGCGGAGGACATCCATGAGGATCTCCACCCGTTAACAAAAAAAAAAAAAGGTAGGTTGACATTGTTCAAGTGTGTTTAAATAGATAATAAATAAATATGTATTAACTGTTTCATAGAATTTTCTTTCTTACCTACCAACTAAATATCCTTCTGTTCAACAAAATCATAATCTATGGTTCGACATAACACTTAAAGTGCAATCGTTCCAATTATAGCTATCTTTTTTACTCACGTGCTTATCCCATCTTTTGTACTTTTCATTAATGCTACTTGTCAACATGTGTGCACTATATCGGTATGTATATATGGCGCGATCAGATTTGAATTGTCAGTTACTATGAAGGTAACATATCTTGTATATAAAATCATTGACCACACTGCAAAAAAAAATTGCTCAGTTTTGCAATGGCGCTTTTTATGTAGAATAAACCTGTCATGGGTCTCAATGCCGTAAATGGGTAAATCCAATGTTCGTGACATCTTTTGATACGTTTATTACGCCGTAGTATTAGATAAATTAAAATTATAGTTCCGTTATCCATTAAGAAACGCCTCAGCCGAGAACTGTATTAAGGCCTTTACATTGCTCAAATCGTAAAAAACGCCCAGGTTTAAAAAAAAATTTAGCCGAATCCTTTGGTTTGCTACAAAAAAAATATGTTTTAGAGCTAAGCTCGGCACAATTTATTTGTATTGTTTAAAATTTTTATATATTTGACCATTATTACAAAAGAAAATCAAATACAAAGGCTGTTTTATAATAATAACTAGCTGACCCGCGCAACTTCGTCTGCGTCTCTCAATAGTAATAATTTTTCTCCGTTTTTGAAACATTCTTCATTGGTGCTCCGCTCCTATTGGTCTTAGCGTGATGATATATAGCCTATAGCCTTCCTCGATAAATGGGCTATCTAACACTGAAAGAATTTTTCAAATCGGACCAGTAGTTCCTGAGATTAGCGCGTTCAAACAAACAAACAAACAAACAAACTCTTCAGCTTTATAATATTAGTATAGATATTTATTTGCTTCAAACATGTGTAGTTTACAGGAAATGAATCCTAAACAGTTCAATTGGTTAGTTTGTGTGTATCAACATGTTTTGCCATGGAAGGCGTACAAATATTTGGTAGTATTTCTCAAGAACGGCTCAACAGTTTAAGATTAAATTTATATTATAATATTTGTTAAGTTATACTAAAAAAAATGTATTGTTTTTATTGTATTTTTGTTAAATATATTTCTTAAAATATAGTAAAACATAATTCGGCCCCTTTTCGCCCCTCGAAGCTCCCCCGCTATGGCCAGTTACGGATATTCGCCAGTGTCAGTTCGACTCTTGCGACGGGTGGACTGCGCGCGCGTTATTTTCGGAAAAAAAATATTAAAAAGTTCGCAATATTTAAAATTTATAAAATCAGATTTGTTGCAAATAAAACGTACATTAATAATAGTTGATAAAAAATTAGGAATTAAGTTGATTTATGTAAATAAAATTGTTTTTAGTTTTAGTATTGAATATAATCGTATCATAGAATAGAAAGCTTGACAATGCCGAAACACAAAAGCAAGTAAAAAGTGAAGCGTGGCCAAGCTCTTCAAAATTATTGGTAATTTTTTTTTTTCTTTGGCGTAAATAAATACATTTATACAGGGTATGGCAGCGTTCCTAAAACTGTCGTGTTCACTTCTATTGTATAGGCGGGGAATTTCTTGAGCTGCAAATAAGCTTGGTACTACAAAAACGTCTATTGAAAAAATATAAAGTATTATGAACATGACCATTTTTGGCTGGTCTGATGCTACAGTTCTGCACTCCGAAGGTGGGTACGGGATCTTAGTGACGGAACCACGTAGAACTATCGTGTTTGTACTCATTTGAAAGGGCTCGCAGTCATCTAGCTGTCCGTGATGATTTCATTTACCTGATTCTGCACTCCGAAGTAGTCCGAAGGTGGGTACGGGATCTCAGTGACGGAACCTCGTAGAACCATCGTGTTTGTACTCATTTGAAAGGGCTCGCAGTTATTTGGCTGTCCGTGATGATTTCACTTACCTGATGCTGCACTCCGAAGTAGTTCGAATGTGGGTATGGGATCTCAGTGACGGAACCACGTAGAACCATCGTGTTTGTACTCATTTGAAAGGGCTCGCAGTCATCTAGCTGTCCGTGATGATTTCATTTACCTGATTCTGCACTCCGAAGTAGTCCGAAGGTGGGTACGGGATCTCAGTGACGGAACCTCGTAGAACCATCGTGTTTGTACTCATTTGAAAGGGCTCGCAGTTATTTGGCTGTCCGTGATGATTTCACTTACCTGATGCTGCACTCCGAAGTAGTTCGAATGTGGGTATGGGATCTCAGTGACGGAACCACGTAGAACCATCGTGTTTGTACTCATTTCAAAGGGCTCGCAGTCATCTAGCTGTCCGTGATGATTTCATTTACCTGATTCTGCACTCCGAAGTAGTCCGAAGGTGGGTACGGGATCTCAGTGACGGAACCTCGTAGAACCATCGTGTTTGTACTCATTTGAAAGGGCTCGCAGTTATTTGGCTGTCCGTGATGATTTCACTTACCTGATGCTGCACTCCGAAGTAGTTCGAATGTGGGTATGGGATCTCAGTGACGGAACCACGTAGAACCATCGTGTTTGTACTCATTTGAAAGGGCTCGCAGTCATCTAGCTGTCCGTGATGATTTCATTTACCTGATTCTGCACTCCGAAGTAGTCCGAAGGTGGGTACGGGATCTCAGTGACGGAACCTCGTAGAACCATCGTGTTTGTACTCATTTGAAAGGACTCGCAGTTATTTGGCTGTCCGTGATGATTTCACTTAACTTTTCTGAAAATGCTTTTATTGTACTCTTTTGTTGAGAGTGACTGTTGCGATAATATTTCTAATTTAACTTCATGTTTTTAGGCATTTGAGAAATCAGCGGAAATCCCATTCAGAAAATCTGGACAAAGATCCGTCAACTGAATCATTACATTCATCTACGACTATTGAAGAAACTCACGATCCGTTTGGTATGGCAGTTGATGAGGAGACTTCGTCGCCGGATATTACGGTAGCTACTTCTTACAATTAAGAGTGCAAGTGTTTTTTTAATGTTGTTAAATTGAACTTTGACTCTGGGTCCCCATTGCGCATTGATAACCATTCGTTTTTGGTAATAATTCCAATTGCTGAGCAAGAAGAAAATACAACCCTTTCCTTATATCAAGAATCGATACGGTCGTCAACACCAGTAATTCCAGAAGCGGAACAACCAACCTGTTCACGATACTTAAATTATAATGAATTTTAACTTGCACAAAATATTCAACGGTTGATTTAATCTTGACAGATTTATGGTGTGTCTAAGATAACATAATTAAAAAAGAACGCAAAGTTTATTTCCTCTTTTACTTAATTTAGCACTTACACATATGAACCAGATCATCATTAGACCTTCAGAATATTTATCGTAGCACCATCCGTGATAAATATGACAGTAACTGAAAACTAAATCTTTCTCACTATTGCCATGGCCGAGAAGTCCTTATAGCTTACCTAGTAATCCACATACCTTCATAAAGTTTCACGCAGCAGCGTCTGTGCTGAATATGAGAGTTTCTGAAAACTAAATCTTCCTAATCATTTCCATTGCTGAGAACCACTTGACACTTACCTGGTCATCCACATACCTTCACAAAGTGTCACGCAGCAGCTTCTGTGCTGAATATGAGAGTTTCTGAAAACTAAATCTTCCTAACCATTTCCATTGCTGAGAACGACTTGACACTTACCTGGTCATCCACATACCTTCACAAAGTGTCACGCAGCAGCGTCTATGCTGAATATGAGAGTTTCTGAAAACTAAATCTTCCTAACCATTTCCATTGCTGAAAACCACTTGATACTTACCTGGTCATCCACATACCTTCACAAAGTATCACGCAGCAGCGTCAGTGCTGAATATGAGAGTTTCTGAAAACTAAATCTTCCTAACCATTTCCATTGCTGAGAACGACTTGACACTTACCTGGTCATCCACATACCTTCACAAAGTGTCACGCAGCAGCGTCTGTGCTGAATATGAGAGTTTCTGAAAACTAAATCTTCCTAACCATTTCCATTGCTGAGAACCACTTGATACTTACCTGGTCATCCACATACCTTCACAAAGTATCACGCAGCAGCGTCAGTGCTGAATATGAGAGTTTCTGAAAACTAAATCTTCCTAACCATTTCCATTGCTGAGAACGACTTGACACTTACCTGGTCATCCACATACCTTCACAAAGTGTCACGCAGCAGCGTCTGTGCTGAATATGAGAGTTTCTGAAAACTAAATCTTCCTAACCATTTCCATTGCTGAGAACGACTTGACACTTACCTGGTCATCCACATACCTTCACAAAGTGTCACGCAGCAGCGTCTATGCTGAATATGGGAATGAATATTGTTACAAGGTCTAAAGTAAAAAATAAGGTAATTCACTAGGTACTACGTCTCTCAGAGGTCGAATAAAATTATGCAAATAAGTTCTCATCTCATATCTAATCGTTAATCTTTGTCTACTATTTACGTAGTGCCATTGTAGTACGTCTGTCTTTTGGTAGGTGTCGCTAAATTTAAACAGTCTAAATCGTCAAGGTCACTGATCATTGTAGAAGCCTTAACTAAAATCGTTCGTAATTTAACATCGCAGTGCGTTCTAGTTTATTACCGATCGCGAAATATAATACGCGATAATAAAAACCTCGCGATGAAATATCGCTGTTAGGTCAGGCCCTTATATATTACTTCGATCAAATAAACTACAGATGCACGATCACGGCTCGAAAACCGGCGCCAACTCAACTCGGCCTAAATTAGAAGTATGCACAGTTGCGATCAGAGCCGCTTCGTGAACGCGTTGGTATTGTGACGTTTATAACGATGCCAAAATGTGCAGTAAAAAAATGCAAAAACTACACATTAAAAGTGCAAAAAAAGGATGGAGTGTCGTATTTTCGGTAAAATTAACTTAGTATGACATTATGAATTGTTTTTCATGACAAATTTTCTCTTAATTCAACTAATTTTATTTATTTTTAACTGCGTTTTTAACACCTGTTTTTAACCATATGATTTTAAAATCTTTTCATCACACCTTACCTGATTACGCCAGTGACAGACTCGCAAAAGACTAAATCTAAAGAAAGGTTTGATTGATTTTGATGACATTAATCTTGTCTATGACCAAATCTAGGTAGTGATTTATCACTGTTGAAATCATAATGATCAATACCAATAATTTCTTCAAATGTATATGATTTAAAAGTAGCAATAATTTCATGTCTACTTCCTGTAGCGCGATCTCGCTTACACCAACCCTCCGTTAGAAGTGTTAGAACAAGACCCATACTTAAAGATATTAACAAAATAGATTTTTTAAATATTTTTTTAAGTGAAAACTTCTTTATTGGGTCCGCGTCACCGATGACCTCGACATGCTCGTGGAGTATTGCGCCAGACTAACAACGCGAAGCGACCACGCGTACCTAGCTACATTGGTTTGAGTTCACTTCTGTCGGCAGTGCTTGTAACTGCCTCTGTTTTTTTTTAATCAGTTATTCGTAAGAAATTAAATAATTGTACCTATTGTATCTTATTATAATTTTATTTTAGTTTTCCCCAAAATGTCATTAGACGAGAAAAATGGCGGCGTATTATAGCACGTAAAAGGGATGACGAAATGTTCGAACCTAATGCCTCTAGCGTTATCTGTTCAGAGCATTTTAATATGGAAGATATATATATTACTAAAAAAGGATTCAAGAAATTAAAAAATACAGTCTTACCAAATATACAGGTAAAATACCTACATTGGCCATGCTTCACGTATTTTCTTTAGGTATAATTTCAAGTATTCGTTAGCTACAATACTCCAGCCAGGATTCCTCGAAAGCCAATCATTCCTCCCTACCCTTTAAGATAGATAGGTTTCAGGTGCCAATTCACACCTGACTGTCTGAAATTGTGAATAGTTCAAGCGATTTGTTTTTAGTTTTACTTTTTGTTGTTCCTGTTTCGCGAGTGCAGTATACCAGGCTAATTTTGTTCAATATTTTCATGTCGTTCTCTCGCAACACTGCAGTGTACTCTTTCACAATATTTTCAGCACTTAGTAAATTAATGTTAAGGTCGCCAAAGGTGATTACTCTTTTTCTTTTTGCCAGATGTTGACTTTTTACCGCGAAAACTGACATACAAGCGAAACCGCATTTGGCATGGGACAAAATCACAGTGGACTGTGAAAGACCAGTGATTTATTATTCGATTTTTCGTACATAGGTACTACTTACTTACGCGCTGTTGCGAATAAGCTGTTTTCAGACGATGCACAAAGACCCTATGTCGCCTATCTAACAGTAAATCTAGTATTGTTTTTATATATAGTTACCATTCCCCACATAATATTTAAAAAATACTAGATTTACTGTTAAGTAGCGTCTATCCTACCTAGGTACCTAGAAACCCTGAGCAAGTTATGCTCGCGAAGGAGACGGCGGAGCGGGACCGGGAGAGGTTTAGGACTCTCCCGGCCCGCCAGGCCCGGGCACGGGCCAGGCAGCGCAGGCGACTCAGGCGCCGGAGGTCGCAGAACGACCTCCGTCCTCCATAAGCGCAGGCCTGGGGGTGACAGGTGAGGCCATCTGTCACCCTAGCAGAAGCAGGCCGGGGTGGCGGCGAGCGCGTTGCGAAGCGCGCTCGCTTCCAGGGAGCACAGGGAACATGGGGTTCCCACACGGGGCGGGGGTCGTCTACTCGTCTGTAGATGACCCGAGGTATATCGGGGCACCAGGGCCTTCCTTTCTAGGGTATACCTGGTTCCCCGGCTATTAGTACCCGGCGAAGGCGTGCGGTTTTAGTCGGTTCGAGTCCGACATGCCACCGACAGGTGGTATCCGAGGGGATTTCCGCACGGAAAAAAAAAAAAAAAAAAAAGGTACCTAGAAACCCTAACCTACGTACGCAAAAATCGAATGATAAATTACAGTTCACTGTGAATTTGTCCCATGTCCACTTTGTAGTTTGTTTGATCGAAGTATTAATAGATGTAGGTATGTATAGTGGTACCGAAGTAATATTTTGTGCATGCGGCTTAGAATAAAAACGCATAGAAACCGAGAACACGCACGAAAGGTGAGGCAAGTAAAAATATGCCATTTAGGCTTAGCGGACGAACGGCGGGCGTCATTGCTCAAGGTCAAATTGTTGTGCTAACAGCTCTCGTGATTTTAATACAAAATGACAGTTTGTGCAATTAACGGGTGCCACAGTACATCGGAAAAGCATAACAAAAATTGTAACATAACATTCCACGTGTAAGTATATTGTTTATTACAATATTTAGATTTAAAACCTTTTACAAAGCAAAATAAAAACAATAAATTTTGGCAAACGCCATTTTGATTAAATGTTGCAAGTTAAGTTAAAATGGTTTCCCAAATTTTGATATTTATGTACTGCAATTAAAAATGGCTGTATACCGTACTTGCACTGGAAGCCTTGACTCAGAATGGCCAGTATTAATAAAATAAATTTGATTATAATTCGGTGGAATAGTCAAATTGAATGCGCTTAAGACTTCTTTAGTTTTACTGGATTGGTGTCGTCCATTAATCATGTGATGTTTATAACAACTTTTTTAATAAACCAAATATTAATTAATACATCAATCTAATCAAATAATAAATAATATTAAGATAAAACATGCCGTATTTCGGTTTAGAAATCGCGCGTCACAAAAAAATGAATTTTAAACTTTTTCATAGAAGTTAAAATCTTTTTTTTTTCATTTTTGTCTTAAAACATTCACGTTAAGAATTTAATAAAAGATATAGAACATTACTTTCCTTATTAATTTTTCATAGCACTACTCAGTATTAGCTACTTTATCACATACCTACTAAGAAGTGCACGTTCAATACAAGGAAGCCCTGTATGAAATTTAGGGATTTTTTAATTCTAGATTTCCTTCTGATCCAGTTCTTGCTGCTCTTTGGACTGAAAAAGTTAGACTCAATCGGAATGATGACTGTTGGAAGCCAACTAAAA